AGATCTAATGTAGACCTAATTTCCTGTGCGAGCAATTAACCAGTGGAACGACTTGCCTTCAGAAGTTGTGGGTGCTCCATCACTGAAGGTTTTTAAGAAGAGATTGGAAGCCCTTTGTCCAGAATGGAATAGGATCTCCTACTTGAGCAGGGGATTGGACTAGAATAACTCCAAGGTCTCTTCCAACTTATTCTGTATTCTGATTCTTTGCTTTGTTGGGAATGGGAACTAAATGAAGTCAAAGTATTCCCAGAAACTGAGATTTTGAATGATCTCAAGATCCCCTCAGTCCTATTATGACTGAGTTATTTATTGACATTTTGAAATTGCTAATTGGAATATTTAGTAACTTCCAAGTACCATACTTTGAGTGGTTAAAGATGGGTGTCGCGCAACAAGGTGAGTTTCCATTACTTGCCATAGCTCCTGCCCATTTAGCAGCTCAAAAGCATGCAAATGTGAGCAGGTAAATTGGTATCACTTTGGTGGGAAGGTAGCAGCATTCCATGTGCCTTTGATGTATAGCCATGCTGGACAGGTGACCACGGAAGCATCTTCAGACAATCCTCAGCTAAGAAACGGAGATGGGCATCACCACTGAGTGTAGGACACAACTGGAGAGGGGAAACCTTACTATACATCGAGACAAAAGAATCTGGGAATCAAGCTCAGCTTTTCACGAGGTATCAGCCATGAGTTCTTGGCTATGGTGAAGCTGTGAAACTGTTAACGCGATCTCTGATTTGTTAAATTGAAGGATTAGCATTCTCAAAAACCAGATAACTGAGATAAGCAGAATATTAGAGTTCATTTAGTGAGTCACACATGCCATGAAAAATAACCAGCGTAACTTAAGCTCAGCAATTCATAAGATTTAACATCTTAGTGGCCATGTAACTCAGCAAAGCTAAGCACGCCAGAGGGTATCTAGGATGTTAGTTTGCATAAATATTTGGCCTTATGAATCCGGTTTAGTCAGTCACAGGCTGTTGAAATCCCTTAGTGAAAGATGTAATGCCTAGGGGTGAACACATCTTTTGGTTTTGATTTCTATCTTATTCCTACAAATATGTTTAGTTAGGTTTGTTGAACCTGTGCATTTTTTAAAAGGATTGCATTAAAATGCCTATGTCCCCACATTGCAGGGAGGCTAGACCAGGGGTGAAATGGTCAGAGGCTTTTTTTTTATTTTTAAAAGCATTTTTTCTACAACCTCTTCAGCCCAAAAAATGCTTTTAAAAGTTAAAAAAAAAAGTCTCTGATGATTGCGTAGCTCAGCTGGGATTGTCAGAGGCTTTTAAAAGCATTTTTTCCTGCAACCTCTTAAGGTTGTAGAAAAAAATGCTTTTAAAAGTAAAAAAAAAAAAGTTGGCCATGCCCACCCAGTCACATTACCCCCCAGCCAAGCCACGCCCACAGAACCGGTGGTAACAAATTTTACATTTCACAACTGGGCTAGACCTATTCGAATGGTTGACCCTCAGCAACTGATAGACATGCTTGGGTTCCTGAAGGAGCTGGGGAATATCCTGGGGGCTTTTGCTGCATGGTCCTGTGGAGGCTCAGGCCTCAGCCAGGAATCAGAAGGGGGCTGGAGCCCTGGACAGGATTGTGCCCATCTGCCCTCTCTTGGCCCATCACTCCCAACACTCCCTGTAGTTTATGGAGGAGGTGAAGGTGCTGAAAAAGGCCAAGAGATGGCTAGAGTACTACTGGAGGAAGACAAAGAATGAATCCAACTGATCAAGTGTCAGAGGAACATCTACCTCATGGCAGTGGTTATGGGTCGCACTTAGAGATGATCTCTGATGGTGCATCCATCCTTGATCTCTTTGACCTCTCAGCAGCCTTTGATACCATCAACCATGGCATCCTTTGCGACTGGCTGTGTGAACTGGGGCCAGTTTGGCTCCTTTCTTCAGGGCCAGTCCCAATCAACCTTGATAGGGAATGAGAGGTTCAATCCACAACCGCTCCTTTGTGGTGTGCTGCAGGGCTCGGGAATCCTTCCACTCCTTTTTACCGTTTACATGAAACCACTTTCATGTGAAAAACCTGACTTGGCTGCTTGGCCTGGCTTGCCCAGGATCTGCTACATTGGGGGTGGGGAGGGGGGTGACCAGGTAGAGAAGATCCCCACCCCTGGGCTGCCCTTGCCCCTGGTTTTTAGCTTTTCTGCTCAACTTTTCTAATTTTAATTGCTTTTAATTTTTTTTATCACTTTTATATTATATTATAAGTCAGCCAGTGAGATGGACAGAATAGAATTTGATTGTGAATGAATGAATGAATGAATGAATGAATGAAATTGTGAATGAATGAAAGCTCCACACCCATTTGCACTACTTGGGTGACCCTGAAAACACAGACAACCCTGCAGGTGGCCTCAACGACTCTCTAAAAGGAAGCCAATGGCCAGCTATCTGCAAGGAATATAAATCCTTCCATTCCCCGCCATCTTGTTAGAGCTGAAGAAGCTTCTTGGGTGAGAAGCAAAACATTTTCAAAGAAAAAACAAGAAAGTCCAGTTGCCTCTTGAAAAAAGCACCTTTGGGACAACCATGATCTGGACGACTGAAGAATCCCCATAGACATTTGGGTTTGGTCCTATAAATTAGTCTCTTCCCCCCTCCAGTTTTAGTTGAAAATCCTTCAGAGAAACCAAGCCAGATGTTTTCCAAACATGTTCTTCTCGGTCCTTATGAGGTATAGTTCATCTCTTGCCAGAAGCCCTTCTTCTAGGTAATGAAAACCTTGACCTGGGAATCCAAAGTTCTTTCAACCCTTGATCCAGTGGTTTACTTTTAGAATCCACCGTTCCCTCATTGGGTGCTGACCTTCCATTGGAAATACAGATACAGAAGTACAGAAAGTATTGAATACCTACAACAGAAAAAAAGTCAAGTAACAAGCCCTGCCTGAGGATCTGCAGCTGTTATCAGAATGACTGGAATACAAAGGATGTGTGTGAAAGTGAATGGTTTTCACTGCAATCCTTTTCACCTTTCCAGGAAGAAACTAAATGCAGTGGCTGTTTCCAGGATCCAGGATGTTCCTTGGCCTCTCTGCCCCTTTCTGACACTCCAACCTGTATTTCCTCCCCACCTCCAGCTGCAAAACAGGCAAGTGCTGGAATACCTTCCACCCAGAGCCACTTAGGTGAGATGGGTGATGCAGAAATGTAATCAATAAAATAAATAATGAATGAAAACATTCCCCAGTCTAAAAGGTTGGAAGCTTTTTAAGCCTCTTAAATGGGGGATTCTGTGACAAAATGGATTTTCTGGGAAATTTCTGGCATCACTTGTAGTTCTAGAAAAGGCTCTTTTTTTTTTTTTTTTTGCTGATCTGAGATATGTTATTAAATTATGTCTTGAAATGAAGGGAAGACCCTGGTATGCAAAGCGAATGCTATCAAGCCTCCTTTCCTTTTGTTTTTCTCGTCTGTCACTCATCAACTCAGCTCTGATTGCTCCACAACAATGCTGTTTAATTTCCTGGCTCAGTGCACACCCCATCGCAGAATCTGGGCAAAAGGAGTGAAGAGAGAGAGAATGTGCGCAATCTCCCCTCCTGGGGAGCTCTCCTGGCCCAAGGGGTAGTGACTCTTTAATGCCAGCCTAGGGCAGAGCTAATCCTGCCTCCTCATCCATGTAATGCAATTAGCACAGCATTTAATGCTGCGGTGGGCAGAGGCAGCCCTAGCTGGATCTCAGGGGGTCTTGCTCTGTTGTAATGATAGGGGTCGCACAGCCCGAGATAAGTGAAGGGTCACTGACTATGGGAGAAAGTCCAGGGGAGGGGGGGCAGTGCTGGAGATAGGAACTCATGCCTCTGTTTTGTTTTCAGAAAGAGGGATTTATGGCATGGGAGAAGATGGACGTTTTTTATTTTATTTTTATTTTATTTCCAATTTATATACTGCCCTTCTCCCTGAGGACTCAGGGAGGTGTACAGCCAGAATTAAGAACATGAAAAGGTTATGGATGCAAAAGTAAGTCATCTGGTTGCAGCTGGGACACAGATGCAGGTTTGCCCCTCTGGGGATTCTAGAGGGGCAAATCCCTTCAAAGTAGACCATGATCTCCTGTAGCACCAGCCCTCACTCTTACTTTTGGCTGCCCATGCTGGGGAAATTAGTATTCCAGATTTGGAATGCTGGAAAACATCTGTCTCTCGTTCCCTGCCTTTTGTGGCTTTAGAAGGTCAGCCGGCGATGTGGGTCTACAAGGGTTGAGTCCGGAGATCCTATCTCTTCAGCTGCGAGAACTGCAGACTGGCAGGTTGGCAGCTGGGCTGCGTCTCTGATCGTGCTCAGCATGGTATGATATAGCAATAGCAGCAATAGCTCGTAGACTTATGTGCTGCCCCATAGTGCTTTACAGCATTATTTCCACATTGCTCCCAATAATCTGGGTCCTCATTTTACCGACCTCAGAAGGTTGGAAGGCTGAGACAATTTTGAGCCCTGTCAGGATCAAACTCCAGGCTGTGGTCAGAGTTTGGCCGTGATCCTGCATTCTAACCACTGTGCCACCAGGACTTTTTGTATATCAAATGTTATATCCTTTCCTCTCACAGAGGATAGTCACACAGGTACAGCAAGGGTCAGACCAATGAATAATAGCAGAGTTGGAAGGGACCTTGGAGGTCTTCTAGTCCAACCCCCTGTGCAAGCAGGAGACCCTATACCAGTGTTGGTGAATCTTTTCGGCACTGAGTGCTGATACGGGAGTGCATGTGTGCATGCGCATGTGCTGGAAACCGGAAGAGCAGCCGCCCAGGGCACATGTGCGTGCCAGGAAGATGATCTTCTGGTTTCCGGCACCTGTGCCATAGGTTCGCCATCACGGCCCTATACCATTCTAGACAAGTGGCTATCCAGTCCCCCTCATTTTTATGGCAGCCCCTCAAATATTGGAACACTGCTATCGCCCCACACCCAGCCTTTCTTTTCATTAGATTAGACCTACCCAATTCCTGGCAACCGTTTTTTGTATGTTTCAGCCTCCAGCCCGTTAATCATTTTTGTTGCTCTTCTCTGCATTCTTTCCAGAGTCTCTACATCAGCAGTGTTGCAGTGAGATGATCTAGATAAGGATGATGCGCAGCATTTTCTTCTTCTGGAAGGAGTTTCCAGCTTTCAGAGGGAAAGGTTTCTCCATCTATCAAAATGTAAGAAGCAGATCCATGGGTTGTAGTCTTTATGGTGGGGGCAATGAAGCTCACCCTCCCAATATTGGAAGTATTCAGCCGCTTTGGTGCTTTGAAAATAAGCGGAACCACCGAATTAAAGGTGGATAGATTTAGAAGGTAAGACTGGACTCTCCATTTTGAGGGCCATTTGCCAAATAATCAATTTAGATAAACTACAAGAATGTTAATTACAGTTCATAATCCTTGGCTCTACGACCTTGATGGTTACAACTGGAAACAGAAAAGGAAAGATGGTGAACAGGATCTGTCTTCATTTCCCTTCCTTTTTTCCTCCTGGATGGTAAAGCAATTGGGGGGTAATATTGAGGGGGAAAAAGGAGTCCACAAATATGTTTGAAAGTTGAATCATGACAACTGGATTTATTTTTTGTTGGTTTCAGACGCTTTGCTGCTCATCCAAGCAGCTGCATCAATCAGAACAAGTTAGTTAGGCAGCGACTCACTGGAATGAACCAACTCCTCCTGTAAACCTCAGATTTTCTTCCCCAAAGTGCATGGCAATATGTTGAAGATTCTCAGCCATCCAGTGATCTGTTGCCAGGATGCAACTTTCAGACAACTCTACCTGGATGAATGAGAATTTTCAGATATAGGAGTTCAGAAATAGCTAGCCACCACACTGTCAGACCTGTCCCAGCTTGGGTGTTTACAAAAGAAATACTCTCAACTCCATTTGTAGTGAAAGGTATAACTTTTACTGAAGCCAAGTGGTTACAGCATAGCAAAGCCAGATCTGAGGATTTCCTGCTTAGTCCTGGTAATTTTCTTTTCTCCCAAGCCCTCCCCCTCTTGGTTATCTTAAAAAGGTAAAGGTAAAGGTTTCTCTCGCACATATGTGCTAGTCGTTCCCGACTCTAGGGGGCAGTGCTCTCCTCCGTTTCAAAGCCGAAGAGCCAGCACTGTCCAAAGACATCTCCGTGGTCATGTGGCCGGCATGACTAAACGCCAAAGGCACATGGAACGCTGTTCCCTTCCCACCAAAGGTGGTCCCTATTTTTCTACTTGCATTTTTTACATGCTTTCAAACTGCTAGGTTGGCAGAAGCTGGGACAAGTTCAAATTAGGCGTTTTGGTAACAGCTCCACATTTTGGTGCCTTTTTGGCTGGGCATTCCTCATTCCATTCCCAAGCTTGCGTCTTTGAATCTCTCAAGCTTTGTTTCAGACTGGCACCTCTGGTTTCTGTCATCCGGTCATCCCCCCTCCCTATATTCTGTTGCTCCTACCTTCCCCCTTTTATGGCAGGATGCCATCAAAGTGAAACAGGGCTGAAGCGATGCAATGGCAGACTTAACACACCACTGTCCTTTTATTTCCTTTTGCTGTCATCCCATTTCTCAGAGGGCAAAACACAAGTGAGCAAGACTGCACTTGAGAAAGTGTCCCAGAATGAGGTGCACAGTTTGTTTTGAGGGTCCCTGAGAAATTGACCACCTGGGTGTCCAAGAGAAGAGGCCGATCTGTATTCATTGCAAATGCTTTAATCAGAAGTTTCCCTACAGATTTCCGTACGACAGTCAGTTGTTGTGTCAAGGTCCCCTGCTGGGATCAGGCCAGCCAGCCAGATAAAAAAACGCAAACAGGCACATGCCTCAAGGCAGCATGGAGATGCCATTAAATCCCACCCGAGATGAAAAAAATGCCAAGCCGTATTCCTAAGATGCTATAAGTTATAATTTTAAATAGCCTCCAGGGAAAGAACTGCTTGAAGGATTTCACTGCCCTGCTGGAGATTTGAGAGAACATCTGCCTGGGCCACCTGCATTGGTCATCTTTCATTGACTTTGCATCTGTTGCTTTTGTTAGCACAAATTCAATTACCTGCAGCCGTCTGGGGACCCTTTGATTTGTATTGGGCCAAGCTGATGGACAGCTGCAGAAATGGCTGGGTGAGCTCTGTTTAGCTAAGAGGCAGAGAATAATACTGGGCATCAGAGCCAAATTCAGCCCTGGAACTGGAGAAAATGGATTGTTGAAAAATGAGCGGGCAGCTTGGCTTGTATCACCTGTGCTGCCTCTGCTCAGAAGAACAGCAATAGAGGCTGGGGGAAAGGAGTTACAATGCCAGAAAATGAGGCCCCAAGAAAATAACCCTTTGAGCAGAGCAGAAACAAATGAGTTCCACAAACTGGGATTTATATGACTCGACTGGTCTGCTTCCTACAACTGGCATTTCAGAGGGACTGGAACATCACGCTGAACACACTGAGCTGACAGGTGAGTCCAGGTCTTGGGCTGCTTGACCTGCTGCCCTGGTTCATGACAGCCCAGCCCCTTCAAAACAGGAGAGGGTTGACATCCAGAAAGGGAACTTGGGGCAAGATTTCTGAACAGCTGAAGCCCACAAGATGGAAAAACCCCTTGGCTTTTCAGTGTCTAAAATCAAGGCTTCAGTTCTGTGTAATAGATTTAAAACCAGTACTTAAAGATCTCTTCTTTTCACAGGATAATTTATGCCCGGTTGGCTTGCTTTGCAACCCATTTTATTTGTAGGGCTAAAATGTTAAAATGCTGTGCCTTGGAAATCTGTGAGGACTGATTTGGAAGTTGTCCTGTTGTTGATGTGCCCTGAAATTGTTTTAGCCTTTTCCACAGCCATATCAGACTGCAGAATTAAAAGAAAGTAGATTCAGACAGAATGTCAGGAGGTATTTCTTATGGCAAGGGTTGTCAACCAGTGACAGGGTGTGCAAGCACGATAGCCCCATGCAGGGACTGTCAGGGATGGTTTAGGGGACCAAGTAATGGTGGGTCTAAATGACCTATGAACTTCTTTCCAATTCATTCATTCACTCACTCAATGACTCTATGATTGTTACTTCCAGCAAGCTGCTTTGGTATGATTTATGTCCTGAAGGTCAGAATGTCAATACTTGTAGCCATCACTCTGCTTAACAACTAATTCCCACAACACTGTCAAATAATTTACTAAGACTGTATTACTATTATTCTTCTCTTCCTTCCTAGTATCTATCTCTTCCCACTTATTACTATAACCATGTTGCTTGTATCTTTCAATTTATATTGTTTTTGTTTCCTAGTATAATTTGATAACTTATTAGTAAGTAACCTTGACTATCACTAAGTGTTGTACAGTATCTTTTTATTCTCAATGAATGTATATTTTATTCTCCTTATGTACACTGAGAGCATATACACCAAAGACAAATTCCTTGTGTGTCCAATCACACTTGGCCAATAAAGAATTCTATTCTAAATAAAATATGCATAAATCAAAACTCTTTTCCCAGGACAAAGCTGGAGCAGCACCCTTTCCCTTGGTACGGCCCACAGAATCATGAAGGATGAAAGGCTGGGATGGCAGAAGCAAGTTGGGGTAGCCGAAGACCCAGGGAATCCATGGGCTTCCCCTGGTGGGCTTGGGGTGGGGGTTGCAATTCACCTCCGATGCTCCCTGCAATCAGGGCATGATGGGGTGTCAATCTAAGGACAGATCCAAATCTGGTTATGCTGTCATGCTGCCTTAGTGTAATTTCAAGTTTTGTGCTCTACTTCTACAAGGCACAACCCCCCTCCCAGTAGCCCCTCCTCCGCATTGGAATTAAAAAAAAAATCTGAAAAATAGATCGGAAGCGTCTTCTCTTGTTTTAGGTAAGGGCTGAGAATGCAGAGCCATTCCTGACAAGTTCACAATACTTTCCTTGCCTTTATTTCATGCTGGAGAAAATAGCCACAGGGTTTTCGCTCTCATTTTCTTTTCTCTGAAAAGAGAAGGAACAAATGAAATGAAATTCACGAGAAGAGCAATCCATTTAATCGGAGGCAAGTGATGGGAGGGGGCGGGGGTAGCGCTCGTTCCCTCTGCATTCTATTCTACCAATTAATTATTTAGTTACATGCTGTCTGTTATGATGAGAGGTAATTAGAGGTAATTAGCTGGGGGGAAAAATGGAAGGTGGGAACGCTGCCAGTTGGTTATGAAAGCCGAGATTCAGTGCTTCCTTTATCACCTTCCAGGGTCTCTTGGAGGGCGGAGTTTGAGAAGTTCCCTGGAGAAGCAGCCAACCCTTCCCAGCCACCTTCTCCGTCATCATTCTGCTCCCCAGTTCAGACACCAAAAAGTTGCTCTGTGGCTCTGCAACTCAATGCCACCTGGGCCTTTGGGGTGCCAGCCATAGAATCCTAGGGCTGGAAGGGACCTTGGAGGTCTTCTAGTTCCACCTCCTGCCCAAAGCAGAAATCCATATACCATGCTGGACAAATGGTTGTCCAATGTTTTCTTGAAAACCTCCAGTTGTGCACCCACAGCTACAGGAGGCAAGCTCTCCCATTGTCTAAGTCTTCTCACAGTCAGGAAATTCCTCCTTATTTCCAGGTCGGGTCTCCTTTTGATGAGCTTCCACCCCTTGTTCCTTGTCCTGCCCTCAGGTGCTTTGGAGAATAAATCAACAGCCTCTTTCCTGTGACAGCCTTCAGGTACTGGAAAACTGCTTTCCTGTCTCCCCTGAGCCTTCTCTTCATTAGCTAGACATACCTAGTTACCTCAAAAGTTAATTGTATGGTTTAGCCTCCAGACTTCTTTGTTGCTCTTCTCTCCACTCTTTCTAGGGCCTCAGCAACTTTTTTGTATTGTGGTGACCAGAACAAGCTTCCTATAGGAGATGACCAGGCTGAGCCCAAGGGAGGGATCAAGCATGTCATCAGTCTCCGGTCAACGTCATGCCCACAAGAGATCTAAGTCCAGCCCTCCTTGAATTCCATTGACTCTTATCTACCTCCAATTCCCTTTTACCATTAGTAGTTCAGATTCTTGTAGTGGAGCGGGTTAGCACGCAATAAACCTGCAGTCATTTGAACCACCTTGTTTCTTGATTTTTTGCTCCTGGAACTTCCCCATTCAGCTTGACTGCCTCACAGCTTTTGAAAGAGGGCAGGACTGGATGAACCCCTGGCTGGCATCCTCCGCTGCTTGAAAGCTAAACCGCCAGACGCTCTGTGTCAAATCCACTACAAACCCCCAACTGCTTGCTTGGGCCAAGGAGGAAGCAGTGACTGAGCCTCCTACTCCTGCACAGACCCACGCTGTTTCCACGGCACTTGTGGGAGTCATGTATATGCTGCATGCTTCAAGATGCCCTTGATCTATGTAAGGAGAAATATAAATTGGCACAAACGGAGCGGCTGCGGAGGCCGACCCCATTAAATCCGCCAGAATTGCTGCATCTGACACCTAAAACTAGTTGAAACTCAAAGGCATCAAATGAACACCACGCCCTTTCAAGCCGGCTCCACCACCACCGAAGCACGGGAGGGCCGTCTCGCCTCCTGCCCGCGATCAACGGCTGCCGTGCGCCAGAGAACGGGAAGAAAAACATCAAGGCGAAAGCGCTCCCCCTTTCAGCCCCGCGGCCCCCGAGCAGCGTCTACCTGGGGAAAGGGAGCACCAGCCCTCCTTACCGGGGGCGGGCGAAGGGGGGGGGCTTTTGAACTTGCCATTGATTCATCCTCCAGCGCCGCGGCTGAGCATCATTAAAAATAATAGATGCGCCCGACCTTGCCAGCGGCCCCGCGGCTGTCCGTGCCGAGCTAAGTGGCTGCTCTGGGCCGAGAGGGGCGAAGGGAGGGAGGCAGGGAGGGGGAGTAGCTGGAGAAGTCGCTCCCCCCCACCCCCGCCGGCCCATTCAGGGGTTCTTGGAAGAGTTGAAACTGCGATGGAGAGCGGCTGCCCCCAAACCCGCTTTCCTCTACGGCTGATGAAAGCAGGGCAGGAGTAGTTTAGGTCAGCTGGGGGAGGGGAGGGGAGGGGAGGAGGGAGATGCACTGAGTTCTCATCTGTGAGCATTTTTTGAACCAATCAAAATGCAGGTGTCCTTTGAAAATCACACTTCTTTGAATTTTGCCGTGTAGTGGGCCTCTGGGAAGAAAAATGGCTCTTTAGAAAGGAAGCTGCACGAAACACACACATATATTGTGTGTGTGTATGTAGGAAATGGCCCTTAGCTAAACTGCTTTACTGTCCTGGGGCTTGTTTCAGGTTTTTCAGGACAACCTTGCAGGTTGCAGGGAGGGAGAAAGGCCGGCTTTTGAAAAGGAGAATTAGGAAAGGAAGGTTAGGAAGGGGGGGAGATAGAATCTGTGTCTCCGTATTTATAATTTCCATTGATAAGACTGCTCCCCTAACTCAAAATTGACCTTAGGCTACCTTCAAGTAAGACAGTACAACACTTTAAAAAACCAAACTAAATACTGTAAACAAAAAATGGCATGTAACAAACAAAAATAAATACCAAGTGGCCACATCACTAATTCTATCCAAGAATCTGGGAAAAAAAAACAACCCAGCTTCTGCTTCTCAGCAGCTAGAGGCATCGGCTAGATATTAGCAGTGGTGGGATTCTGGGGGTTCTAGGGGGTTCGGCCGAACCCTTTGTTAAATTGCTGGCTCGCCCCGCCCCTTGCCCCGCCCCTCCGCACTACTATTTATTCCCAATAAATGGGACGAGCGAGCCAGCAATTTAACAAACGGTTCGGTGTTTTTTTGTAATTTATTGGCCCCGCAGCATACCGAACCATTTGTTAAATTGCTGGCTTGCCCGCCCCTCGCCCCGCCCTGCCTGCCACCCGCGCAGCGCCAGCCTACCGTAGCCAGGGGTAGGCAATTGTGGCTCTTTTACAACCTGTGGACTTCAACTTCCAGAATTCCTGAGACAGCTTGGCTGTCTCAGGAATTCTGGGAGTTGAAGGCCACAGGTTGTAAAAGAGCCACAATTGCCCACCCCTTCCTTAGCCTGAGTTCCGCTGCCTGGGATCCACGTGGGCTGCCATGTGGTTCCCCACTGGCTCCGGATGCAAGAGAGCAGGATGGAGAAAGCAGCTTCCACACCTTCACTCACCCTCACTCTCTGCTCTGTTGGATCGCCGGCCGTTCGCTTACCCCGCCCACTCCCAATCTATTGCTGCTTCCGGAGTCCCAGCTGATGGCTAGAGGAAAAAAAACTTCAAATTCTTGCCGCGGGGCTTCAAAGGGCCGCCCTATAGCCAGTGGTGCAGCTGAACCATTTGTTAAATTGCTGGCTTGCCCCGCCCCTCCGCACCACTATTTATTGCCAATAAATAGTGGTGGGCGAGGGGCGGGTGAGCCAGCAATTTAACAAACGGTTCGGTGGTTTTTTTGTAATTTTATTGGCCCACGGAGCTTCAGCATAGGCTAATTAGCCCCTTGATTCTATCGGCCTCCCCGCTCTCAGTTGATTTGTCTCAGCTGTTTTGCTCAGGGCTCTGCTGCTTCCTTGCAAAGAGTCCTGGAGCAGATTTTTTTCCCCTTAGCTCTGCTGAAACACAAAACTGAAACTGCTTTGCTGTTGCTGCAATGTTGGAAAATTAGGCAGGCAGAATTCTTTTCTTTTTCCTCACCAAAAAAGGTAGGTGGAAACAATGGGAAATTTAGGGAAAGATTTAAATTTGTTTAAATTTGTGAACCGGCCAAATACTCTGTTCAAAGAAAATACATTGTATGTTTGTATGTGTGTTATTGCTATTATTGCGATTTATTCATATTTGTTCTCTTTTATTCTTTAAAGTTTAACAATTCATTCTTTACCTTAATATCTTTATATTTGTTTGGGGTTGGCTTTCTTCCCTTTCATCTTTTTTATTGTACAGCAATCTTTCTCCTCAAACCTACCACCCCTCTCTTTTCTTTCCTTCTTACTTTCTTTCCCCCTCTCTTCTTCTCCTCCCTACTTCCTCTTCCTTTCTCATTCTCCTCCTCTCTTCTTCCCTCTCTTACCTTCACTCCTACTCTAATTTCCCTTCCCTTCCTTCATCCCTCTCTATTGCTGTATCCTTTTATGCATGTGGACTACTCAGAGGGCTGAAAAAGTTATTTCTGACTGGTCCTCACACTTTTGACCAGTCCTCGAACTTACGACTGACCTCACATTTTACGTTTTTGCCCTATCTTGTCACCATGGTGAAGAGAAGCAGTTGTGAAATGAGTGACATGGTTGTTAAGAAAGCTGCACGGGCATAAATGTGAGGATGGTCATAAGTGTGAGGACCGGTCAAAAGTGCGAGGCCCAGTCAGAAATGACTTTTTTCAGCCCTCTGAGTAGTCCCTATGCACATAGCCACGCCCACCCGGTCACATGATGAGCTAGCCACACCCCCAACTAAGCCACGCCGACAGAACCTGTTGTTAAAAAAATTGAATCCCACCACTGGATATTAGCCTTTGGTCAGGTTCGGTTGGAGTCCCTGTTACTAACTGGACAAGAAGACCTTGATGAGATTTCCTCACACAGATTATTATGGGGTATGTTAATGATGATTCTCAATCACCAAGGTAAAATTGTCTTGTTGGAAGAAACATCCTTCTGGGTTCAGCTCCAAGTGGGGAAACAGACACTGGAAACATGGAGACTGCTTGGAAAGATGGTTTAATGGTGGACAGGATCACATGGCTTGAGTTCCTGAACAGAAAAGGGGTGAGATACAGCGAGTCCCCAGGTTTTATGCTTTCTCTGGCTTTGAACTTCCTGAGGTCCAGAAAGAGTATCCTGATTGGTTGTCAGACTCCCAGGGGGTGGGGGTCTTAGCTAGCCTTGCTGGCTGATGTAATCTTCCCAGGTGCCATGTGGTGAGTTTCTGTCCTAGATGGGTCCCATTGTGTTAGTTTCTGTTGCTATTGTGTTGCAGATTATGGCCCATTAACAAAGGTGTGTGTGGGGGAGGTAGGAAGCTGCTTTGTCTTTAAAACATGTTTCTCCATTTCTCATCCAGGGAAATATAATATTCTGCCTTTTTAAATATTTCCTAAAATATTTCATTCTTCCAGGAAAGGGGTGGGTGCTAACTTCCTACAGTTTGAAGGCTGAATCTTGGCAACTGATAAAATAAGTCCAGTTGCTATGATTCAACTTTCGTACTTCGTGTGGAGCAGCTTTTAAAGATGACAAGAAACAATGGATGGAATCTTATCCAGGACAGAAGCAATCTGGAATTAAGGAGGAACTTCCTAAGAGTGAGGACAATGAACCAGTGGAACAGCTGGCCTCCAGAAATTGCTTCATCACTGGAGGTTTTTAAGAAGAGACTGGACAGTCACTTGTCTGAAATGGTGCAGGGTCTCCTGCTTGAACAGGCAATTGGACTAGGTCCCTTCCAGCTCTATTCTGATTGACTGGGAAACCACATTTGATAAAGCGTATACTCCGATGACCAGGTTGCTAACAGCTGGAAAATGCTATCATAGAATAATTATTTTTCATTTGTTGCCCTAATTGCCAGTAGGAATCAATTCAAAATGTCCTCCATGGTGTAGCACTAGGGTACATTAGGATTCTTAAAAATTATCTAAGCGGGTGTGTGATATTCAAACTCCTGACCCCATAAGAGGTAAGAGGTGACGAGGCCACAAGACCATTTTTCTTGGCAAACTCTCTGCGCTTGCTTGTTTCCTTGCAGATGTTTCATTACTTCATTACAAACAAGGTAACATCATCATCAGTGCTAATTGATTGACCTGATGAGGCTACTTAGTTTAGGTAATAAAATATCTGCAAGAAAACAAGCAAGCGCAGAGAGGACCCAGGACCCCTCATTTCAGCCCTGAGCTACAAATATTCTCCTTTATCTGGAAGCCCTTTACTTTAAACAAGCCTTCAAGCAGATTGCGTTTATTTTGTTTTATTGTTGTTGCCAGGGAGGTGAAGCTTTACTGGGTTTTGTATTTGGGGTTTCACTTCTGCCCAGAGTCACCGTCAGTGAGTTGGATGACCAAATTCATTTTCTTAATAAATGAATATTGTAGGTGAACATGGCCCATGAATAGATCAACCAACAGTTTTTGTAATGT